TGATGTCTGCTATGACAGATTCGCTCTGCACAAGGAGGGGGGACGGGACCTCTCCCAGAGCCTTGTCCTGCAGCCCCAGGCTGGGCTCTCTCAGGCCCACTTCCCCCTGGGCACTGTGAGCCGCTCCCACGGGGGCCGGTACCGATGCTACAGTGGATACAACCTCTCCTCTGCGTAGTCGGCCCCCAGTGACCCCCTGGACATATTGGTGGCAAGTGAGGGGCCAGTGGGTTCACTCAGGGACCCAGACTGTGCATAGGCCCTGCTGGGGTCTCAGGTGGTGAGGCCAGAATGAAAGGGCAGGCCCCAGGGAGGGAGATACACAGACAGACGGGGGGTGGGAGGGGAGGGAGGAGACTCAGAGAAAGAGACATAAAAAGAAGAGGGTCCTCAGAGAGAGGCCTGGTGACTCTCAGGTCAGAACAAGGTGGGCAGGCAGCCCTCACCCTCCCTCCCTCTCTCTAGGACACCTACCTGACACACCCTCCCTCTCGGTGCAGCCAGGCCCCAGGGTGGCCTCAGGAGAGAACGTGACCCTGCTGTGTCACTCACAGAGCCCAAGGAACACGTTTCTTCTGTGCAAGGAGGGGGAAGCCAGTCCCCCACTGCGTCTGATATCAAAGTATCGAACCGGGAACTACCAGGCAGAGTTCTCCATAAGCCCTGTGACCTCAGCCCACGGGGGCACCTACAGGTGCTACAGCTCAAACGGCACCTCCCCCTTCCTCCTGTCTCTCCCCAGTGAACCCCTGGTGCTCCTGGTCTCAGGTGAGGAACCCCCGGCCCTTTCTGCTGAGCTGTCAGCTCAGGGTCCTGTCCCCAGAAGGATTATGGGCTTGAAAGGAAGGAGGGGCTCTGGGGATCATCACCCAGAGGTGATCTGACACTCAGAGACTCTATGCCAGGTGCTTAGCCCTCCCCCTCACATGGTCCAGAGGGTACCAGGTGGGCAGTGTGAAGGTCTGAGGGCAGATGCAGGAGGAGTCTGAGTGAGGTGGGGAGCCCAGGGTTGGCCCCAGAATCTCACACTTTGTCCTCCTTCCCAAGATCCTCTGGTACCCTGACTCCCCAACAACAGGGACCATGTCCACAGTTGGTCAATCCTGGGTCCCCTTTGCTCAGAGGGAGCACTGTCCACCCCAGGGAGTTCTTAGTCACTTAAAGGATCTAGTGCGCCACCACCATCCCCAATCCGGAGACAGGCTTGTGTCCCAGGGAGGCCAGTAGTCCTGGAGGAATTTCAGGGAACTACTGTGCTCCAGGGTCTCTGAGGATTCTCCCCACACCCCTTGGGGTCAGACCTAAGAGGGAGAAGTGAGGCAGGTGAGAGGTGGGTGGTCATGGCAGAGGGAGATGTGGGGCCCAGGCTGAGGGAGTAGCAGAGGCCAGAGAGGTTGAGAGAGGACAGGGGACACTCCCTCAGCTGCTGATTTCTAGAGCCCCTTGGATGGAAGCCCTCACCACACAGGTGGGGTCCTGATCATACTCAGAGCAGGACAGGGGCCTCCTT